CTGCGTCCATCATGGAGAGGGGGACGGACGAGTCGCGGCGTACCCGCAGCCTGCCACGATAAAACTGCCGAGCCGCATCTCCCCCGACTTCCACCGGCTGAGGAAGAGACGCTTCGGTCCCCCATAGCTGCGGAGGATCAGCTTCAGGCGTCGGAGCCCGAAGCCGTGCCGACGGGCCGCAGCGACCAGGCCCTCGTGGGTGATCCGCTCGCACGCCGTCGACAGGTCGGCCATCGCCGCCATCGACTGCTGCCCCGTCGCGGCCGCCACGTTCGCGTCGTGGGACTGGGGCCAGAAGGCGTCCTCGCAGGAGCGCCCAGCCTCGCCGAAGACGTAATCGCGTTTGTGGGCAGCCTCCCACTCGACCACGTCGATCCTGCGAACCCTCACCAAGCTGCTGAGGGGCCCAGTAGGCCTCCAGCCTCCGTCGGCTTCGTCAGGGCGACAACAAACATAATGTTCACCTGCTCTGGCAGCCTACAGGCCGCCTCCACCACCAGCGCGAGCAGCCCCAGCGCCCCCAGGCCCTCGTCGCTGAGATGCCCGAAGGCGCGCGGCTTCACCGCATCGACGCCCAGGGCCGCCGACGCCTTGAATGCCCTCGACGCCTTGATGATCTCCTCCGCCGTCGGCGCCTGGCCGGGCCCCTCCAGGTGGACGTCGGGGAGGGCGGCCAGCTGGCCCGCCGTCGCCATCCACATCGGCTGTCTAGCCTGGGGGGGGCTCTGCAGAAAGCGCGGGCGGCCCCTCCCCCGTCGCGCACGGCCTCCTGCGCCTAGGAGCGCTGGCGCTGATCTCGGCCCTCCGCGCAGCCAGCATCTAGCCTCGCCGCAGCGTCCCTGGCCTCCTCCTCCGAGGCCTCGACCTCAGCGTAGGAGAATTGCCGCGTGCCTCGAAGCTGCCGTCTCCGCCCGGCCGCTCTTGCGGGCCCAAAGCGCCGCCGCGCGCGCGCGCCGACGAGGCCAGCTTACTTGTAGCCCATCATGGCGTGGAGCCCCGCGAGTTGCCGGCAGGCCGCCGCTCTCGCCCTCGGGTGGTGCTGGCGCCTCCGCGTTGCGAGCTCCCCCCAGAATGCTGCGCCGACCTTGCGCCAATGGGTCGACCCCGGGCACCCTCGAGCGCGCGGCGCGCTGCAGGGCAGGATCACCTCCTGCATCACGTGGCGCGGCTTGGCCTCGCGGCCCTTGTACTTGTCCTCCTCGTGGCCTCCGGTGCTGTAGGACCTCGCGAGGTCCGACTCCATCAGCATGGAACTCTACAAAGCGCTCGTTTCCTCCCGGGGCGAACTGCCCTTCATCCCGTCGTGAATGAATGGAGCGGTCGCGCGGTTGCCCGTGGCTTCGGGGCGGGGCAATGGGGCGATCAGAGAACTTCCTTTTGCCGCCCGCTGCCGACGCCCCCCCAGGCTGCTGCGGGCCCGCCCGCGTCGCCCCGCCAGCGACGGCACGCTCTCCCAGCCTCGCGCCAGCGGCAGCCCAAAGGCCCGCGGCGCTCGGAGGGCCCGCGGGCACCGCAGCAGCCGCCAAATCCAGGATATCGAAAGGCGCGCCCATCCACCGCATCGGAAGAGGCAGCAGACGCCGCCCTTGATGCCGACACCCCCGCCCCCAGGGAAAGCGCGCCCTGGGCCGCGCGGGGAGACGTCGCCGTCATCGAAAGCCCAGCCCCCAGGGGATGCGCATCCTGGGCCATACGGGGGGCCGAGTACGCATGGAGCCCGTGCGCATAGGGCCCCGCCCCACGGAATTCACATCCTGGGCCATGCGGGTCGTCGACGTCGACATGGAAGGCCCCGCCCCAAGGGACTGGGCGCCCTGGGCCATGCTGGGAGAGGTCGCCGCCGCCGAAAAGCCCCGCCCCCAGGGAATGCACATCCTGGGCCATGCGGGGAGCCGCCGACGCCATAGGTATTCCCGCCACCGCGGAAGGCACGTCCTGGGTCACGCGGGGAGACAGCGCCGTCGTCGAAAGCCCAGCACCCAGGGAACGCACATCCTAAACCATGCGGGGGGCCGTCGTAGTCATAGGCACCCCCGCCCCCATGGGTAGCACGTCCTGGGCCATGCGGGGAGACGTCGCATGCGTCGGAGGCCCCGCCCCCATGGATGGATGCCCTGGACCGCGCAAAGCCCGTGAGCGGCCCCCTGCTCCGACCCGCCGCCGGGGAGCAGGCTGAGCGCAACCCCGCTCCTCTATACGGCGGCAGCCGCGCAGCGCCGAGTCGTCCATCCCCTTCGCGTACATCTCGGCCCCAAGGGCTGGGCGGGCCTCCGGCGGCGGGGCTCTCGACGACTGCCTCCGCCACGGGCCCGGGGGCGGCGCCCTGCGCGACGGCCCCGGGAAGCGGCCCCGCAGCCACCTGCGCAGCCTCCGCGGAGGGCTCGCGGGCCGCCCAGGGGTGGCCGAGCCGCGCCAGCACGCCTCGCAGCCTTCCCATCAGGGGCCCCAGTTCGGGGGCTCCGGCCCCGGCCCCCAGCCCACTGGGGCGCGCTGCTAGGAGAGCCCGGGGGGCACTTGTGCACGGGGCGCCTCTCGGCCGCGCCTCGCTTGCCCAGCTCCCGGCGGACTGGCCGGCGCGGGGCGCGCGTCTCGCCCG